GTTTATTGGTCCAGTGGTGAGGATCTTTTGTTTTCTTTACATTGAGATACAATCCATACCAAAGACTGTGCTCTTTGATCTTCATCAATAAGTATTTTAAGTCCTCTTCACTTTCAGCAAGCAAGGTTGTATCATCTGCGTATCACAGGTTGTTAATGAGTCTTTCTCCAATCTTGATTCCATGTTTTTCTTTATATACGCGAGCTTCTCAGATTATTTGCTCAGCATACAGGTTGAATAGTTATGGTGAAAGAATACAACCCTGTCTCATACCTTTCTTAATTTTAAACCATTCAGTGTTCCCATGTTCTGTTCGAATAATTAATTACCTCTTGGTCCATGTACAGATTCCTCATGTGCACAGTTAAGTGTTCCAGAATACTCATACTTCACAATGTTTCTATCATGATCCACACAATTGAAAGCCTTTGCATAGTCAATAAAGCACAGGTAAACATCTTTCTGATATTCTTTGCTTTCTGCCAAGATCCATCGGACATCAGCAATGATATCTTTCATTCCACAGCCTCTTCTGAATCCAGCTTGAACCTTTGGAAGTTCTCTGTCAATGTATGCTTGCAGAGTTTCTGTATTACATTTAGTAAAACTTTATTAGCTTGGGATATCAAAGATATTGTATGATGATTTTCACATTCCATTGGGTCACCTCTCTTTGGAATGTTATCCCTACTTTTACTTTTAATTTTTGTGTTTTTGTTCTTTACGAACCTCACATTTGAATATCCTTGCATAGTCAATAAAGCACAAGTAAAATCTTTCTAGTATTCTCTGCTTTCAGCCAAAATCTGTCTGATGTGAGCAATGAGATCCCTAGTTCCATGTCCTCTTCTGAATCCAGCTTGAGTGTCTGGTGGCAGCTCCCTGTCGATGTATTGTGACAATTGTCTCTGAATAATCTAGGGTTTCTGAGGCTGTAAATCTTTAAGGGAGCAGAAAGCCTCATCTTTTTCCCGTGGAACCGCTGGTAGTCTCGAACTGCTGACCTTGTGGTTCGCAGCCCGATTCGTAACCACTACACTACCAGACAGTTGGCCAGATAGCTGTTCTCAAATGTCTTGGCATAGACAAGTGAGTGCCTGCAGCGCTGCATCCGTTTGTTGAAAGATTTCAGTTTGTCTTTTGGCAATTCCTGAAGCCTTGTTTTCTGCCATTGCATTCAGTGCAGTCTGGACTTCTTTTAATACCATCAGTTCCTGATAGCATGGTAAATTGTGAAATGGTTAAACAGCAACCAATTCTTTCTGGTACAGTGACTCTGTATAATGATCATCTTTTCTTGTGATGCTTTATGCATCATTTGATATTTTGTCCACATTGTTGTTAAGTGTTATGAGATTGATTCCAACTCGTAACTCATAATTACCCTGTGTAGGGTTTTCTGAGGCTCTAAATCTTTGCAGGAGCAGAAAGGCTCATCTTTCTCCCAAGGAGTAGCTGGTGGGCTCGAATTTCTGACCTTGTGGTTAGCAGTTTAGTACTTATCCTACAAAGCCACAGTGATTATTTTGTCCATTGTTGTTGCTATCACGTGCTATCGAGTCGGCTTTGACCCATAGCAACCCCATATAAGGCTTGTAAGGAGCAGTGGGTAAGTTTGAACTGCCAAGCCTGCAGTTCAAACCAACTTTGCAGTCTAGCACATTAGTCCACAGTGCCACATCAGGACTCCATTTTGCCCATAGCATCCTTCGATATTACAACCTGAAGCTTGAATTTTCTCTTAATTTCTTTCATCTTGAGAAATGATGAGCGTGTTCTTTCCTGTTGGTTTTCTAGCTCCAAGTCTTTGCGTATCTCATTATACCACTTTGTCTTCTTGAGCTACCTTTGAAATGTTCTGCTCAGCTCTTTTACTTCCTCAATTCTTTCAGTCACTTTAGCTTTCTACATTCAAGAGCAAGTTTCAGAGTCTATGCTGACATCCATTTTATCTTTTCTTTCTTCCCTGTCTTTTTAATGACCTTTTGCTTTCTTCATGTATGATGATCTTAATATCAAACAACTATTCTTCGGCCATTAGTGGTGAATCCATCAAATCTTTTCATGAGATGGTCTCTAAATTTAGGTAAATGTATTCTTAGTATCTTTTGGCTCTTGTGGACTTGTTTAAATTTTCTTAAGCTTCAGTCTGCACTTGCATGTGAGCAATTGATGATCTGTTCTACAGTCTGCCCCTGGCCTTATTTTATCTGATGATACTGAGTTTCTCAATTATCTCTTCCCACAGATGTAGTCAATATGATTCTTGAGATGGGGTTCCACTTGTTTAGTCACTGTTTATGTTGTTGAAAAAAGGTACTTGCAATGAATAAATCATTGGTCTTACAAAATTCTATCATGTGATCTTCAACATTGTGTCTAACACTAAGGCCATGTTTTCCAACTACTGACCCTTCCTCTTTGTTTCCACCTTTTGCATTCCAATCACCAGTAATTATAATACATCTTGATTACATGTTTGATCAATTTCAGACAGAGGAAATTGGAAGATTTCTTCAATTTCATCATCACTGGCTTTAACGTTTGGTGGGTAAATTTGAATAATAGTGTTATTTACTTGTCTTCTTGTAGGCATATGGATATTATCCTATCACAGACAGCCCCTGTGCTTCAAGACAGATCTTGATCTGTTCTTTTTGATGTTGTATGCTACTCCATTCCTCTTCAATTTGTTATTCCCAGGACCGTAAACCATGTGATTGTCAGATTCAAAATGGCCAATACAAGCGCATTTCAGCTCACTGATGCCAAGGATATCAATGTTTACACATTCCATTTCATCTTTGACAACTTCCAATTTTCCTAGATTTATACTTCATACATTCCATGTACCAATTATTAATGGAGGTTCATAGCTGTTCCTCTTCATTTGTGCCCCATCAGCAAATGGAGGTCCCAAAGGTTTTACTCTATTGTTTGCCACATCATCATGGTCAACTGTACTTTGAGGAGGCAGCTCTTCCTCAGTTGTATTTTGAGTGTCTTCCAACCAGAGGGGCTCGTCTTCTGGCACTATATCAGACAATGTTGCAGTGCTGTTCATAAGGTTTTCAGTATCTAACCATTCAGATGTGGCCTGTCTCTTCTTCCTAGTCTGTCAGTCTTCAGCTCCAATGAAACCTGTCCACTATGAGTGAACCTATTGTTTTTGTTAGGTACTGTCAATTGGATTCTAACTCAGAGTGACCCTTCATAGGGTTTCCAAAAGCTGTAAATTTTTAGGGAAGCAGAAATCCTCATCTTTCTTCTGTCAAGTAACTGGTGGGTTTGAACTGCCAACCTTGTGATTAGCACTCTAGTGGTTATCCTAGAGAACCAAAAGAGCTTCATGGTCAAACTTAATGGTATTTAAAATGCAGGTGACATAGCTTCCAGCAACACATTCGCTGCAATAATATGAGAAACTGATGAGTGGTGGCCTTGTGGGTGGGACCATGCAAATGAGGTATATGGAACCCTAATGAGGGATTGGTCAATCTTGCCATCACACTAGGTTTAAAATAAGGTGTTTCAGATGCAGAAAGCGGGGGAATCACACTGCCATCAAGAGATGAGAGACAGGAATGGAGCATGTCCTTCGGATATGAGTCCCCTGTGTTGAATTTCCTCAACTCAGGAGACAGAAAACCATGCCACCAGAGATGACAAAAGATGATTGAGAAGCCGTGACAGCAAGAGAAGCAGAATTAAGAACCTAAGATAGAGAGGTGAACTTCCCAGTCCATGGAGCAAAAAAGCCGAGTGCCTTCAGGCCTGAAGCTTGCTGGCCCAGTGCATTGTCTAATGACAAACTTAATTAAGATTGTGAATCCATGGAGCTAGAGCTGAGGGCCTTTTAACTCAGGCCTACTGGCAGAATGAGTGCATAATCAGCAGAGCTACACTTAGTCCAACAGGGCAGAGGTCAAAGGGCCACATTGCCGAGAGGCTGAGGAACAGAGGGTGACATGTGCCTGTGAGAACAGTTGAGAAGTGGCTAAGCTGACTGAAGAACTCTATCTGAGCATCTCTGAACCTGACTCGTGAGTATTGTCTCTGAGTTCTGTGTGGCCACTTCCTATGGACTACTGAGCCCAGCCAAGAAGGAGAGTGACTGGGAGGGCTAGCTGGGGTCTGAATTGAGTAAAAGCCTAGAGGTTGGCAGCATGCTTGACCTTGTCTCTGAGGAATCAACTGTAGGTTGAGGCTTATAGTGATTCTCCTCATGTCCCCTGGTAAAATTACAGGGGCAGTCTTATGTGTCTTTTAATTAAAAAAAAAAAAAAAAAAATTAAGTTCATACTGCCTACATTCTTTCAATACAGCACTTGTAGTCCCCAGGTTACAACTTCCAATTTATGGACCACTCTTGTTTGCCCTTTGTTATTGTTGTGAAGTGCCATTGAGTCAGTTCTGACCCATAGCGACCCTGTATAGGGTTTCCAAGGAGCAGCTGGTGAACCTGAACCACCAACCTTGCAGTTCAAACAGCTTTGCAGTCTGGCACATTAACCCACAGTGCCACAGCAGGACTTGTTAGTGTTAAATAAATTTGCCCTCACTTTGAAAGCATTGAAGCAACCCCTATTCACAACAGATTCTTCATCATACTTACCTTCACTTGCTGCATGTGCAGGTCTAAAATCACTGAAAAGGCAAGTGTATAAGGAAAGGCTGGTACACAGGCTAACTAAGAACCATATGCACCTGCTCTGATTTATCTACAAATATATCTTATTTACAAAGAAGAGCAAAGATGTCAGCTTGAGGACTAAGGTACACCTGACCCAAGCCATGGTATTTTCAATAGCCTCATATGGATGCGAAAGCTGGACAGTAAATAAGGAAGATTGTAGAAGAATTGATGCCTTTGAATTGTGGTGTTGGAGGAGAATACTAAAAGTGCATGGACTGCCAAAAGAACCAATAGATCTGTTTTGGAAGAAGTGCAGCCAGAGTGCTCCCTGGAGGCCAGGATGGCTAAGCTTCGTCTCTCATACTTTGGACATATTGTCTGGAGGGAACAGTCGCTGGAAAAGGATATCATGCTGGGTAAGATGGAGGGTCAGAGAAAAAGAAGAAGACCTCCAGCGAGATGGATCAGCCAGGTGGCATCATTGATGGCATCGAGTGTGGCAGCGGTAATGAGGTTGGCCCAGGATTGGACATTGTTTCATTCTGCTGTGCATAGGGTCGCTATGAATCGGTTCTGACTCCATGGCACCTGACAACAACAACAATGACTTAAAGACACACTTGGGAACAAATCTTGCTTGTAACCAAGGGTGTGCCGTAGTGAGAGTCTCCCTACATTGTAGGAAACAGGGCTTTTATGCATGTATTGAAGAGGATGTAATGGATTCAGGTTTTTGCATTTAATTCTTCTCTGATATTCATTCAATGTGATGTTGTGGGCAAGGGAAAGGTTTACCTTTCTGTTTTCCAAATTGTTCACCAATTCTCTAGCACTATTCATTGTATGAATGTTCTTTATCCATAACTTATGAAAAGTCACTTTGAACACAGCTGCCTAGAGTTTCTGCTGTTAAGTCATTTGTCTCAATGTGCCAGTACTATATTTTTTCTAGATGTTGTGATTTTATAATAACTTGCACTATCCATTCATGCAAACCCTATCAATACTCCCATTCAATAAATACCTTAGCTATTCTCAGAAAGAAAATGTACTATTATTTAAACTATTTCAAAAAACTGGAACTTAAACTAGAATGGCATCAGTTCTTAAAATGAATTGAGGTAGATTTGAAATCATGACAAAATTCTGTCTTCCATTTCAGAACATGGGGTATCTGTTTCTTTCTCTCTAGTCAAATCTTCTTTGGCCTGCTTGATAAAGACACATTACTCACAGATTTCTTTTTAAGTTAATTACTCAATATTTGGTATTTTATGGCTTTATGCATTTGGAATACTTTTCATTTTATTTTTATCTGGCTATACATGTTATAATTAATAAATCTGAATTCATCTTTAATGCTCTTCCTTAATGCACTATCCTTTCCTTTTATTTAAATTTTCTGCATCCCAAAAGGCTCAGAGTAAATCCTATCTCCTCCACACAGTAAGGAAACTACAAAAGAACATGCACTTAGAGACAGATTAAGATTTTAGGCCTGGCCTCTGAGTCTATTATTCTTCACTCATAAAATAGAAATTTATTACTTGTACTGTTTGGTTGTTGTAAAGATTAAATGAGAGAATGTGGGGCACCTGGCACAATCTGTACTGAATAAATGGACACTATTATTGGTTATGTCAGACTATAAAATACTTAAACCTTCTACAATGTGCAACTCTTTTCCAATTGCATACAAAAAAAGATCCAACAGAAGGTTAAGACCCAGTGTGTGTGTATATACACACACACACACACACACACTTATATACATATGTATATATACATATATATACATATCCATTTAATAAATATAAAAATAACAATCTAGTTTAATAGTTAAGACAAACACATTCAGCCAATCTGCCTGAGTTACCAACATTAATGCAACCATTTACTAGTTTTGGAACCTTAAGTAAATTCCTCAACCTTACCATGCCCCAAGTTTCCTTAGATACGAAAATGAGGATGATAATAACATTTTTCCTACATTTTTATTGTGGTATTAAATGGGTTAGTACATAGAAGACACCCTGACAAGTGTGTATACAATAGTTAAGAACTGTAGAAGGGTGTTATTCTAACTTGTGTGATTTGTTAAGCAGTAAATTGGACAGAACTGTAAACTGAAACTGACCTAGTCCCCAGTGTCATGGAGTGACCGTAGTAGCACATGACTTCAAGGATGAATGGGAGTCCATTCAGTGAACAAGGGAGGAGAGTAGGACAGGTGTCAGCAATGGCAACACCCTAGTTAAGAGGGAGTGGACGAGTGTGAGGGGCAGAGATAAAGTCAGAGAGGCTGAGACAGAGGGTGCAAGAGTGTACCTTCATAGGTGAAGCCTGTGAAGTGGGTGGGGCCAGAGCATAGAGCCGTATAAGCTACCTAGAATCAGTGTGTCTTTTTGTAAGAGCAGTAGTAAGTCATGCGGAGGTGAAATGATCATATTTCCAGATCACAAGGAACACTGGATCAGAGAACATAAAGGAAGAAGGTTACAGTGGATGGAACAGTCCAATTGGGCTAGGGCACATGATCCCTTGGATTAAGGTAGGGATGAAGGCAGAGACATGTCAATGCATTCAATACATTAGGAGATAAAATCAACAGGATGCCATGGATATGGAAGCTGAAGCAAGGGTGGTGTCAGGAGTAAAGTCTAGCTTACCGACATATATCTGGACAGACCATGGAGCTATTACATGAGATGTATACATTGTGTAGGCCAGAGAGCCCTATCTCATGGGGTAACTGTATATGAAAGGCTTCAAAAAGTGGGCAGAAAAATCCCATGATCTTTTCATTCCATTTTTCCACCAACTTTTTGAAACCCCCTCATATTTGTCTAATGAGTGATGGTAATCATTAAGGTTTGGGTTCAACTTGACTGGGCCAGAATTCCTAGGAGTTTGACAGTTGAGATATGGTGATCCCCATGGTGAGATCTAATAAATTGTAGGTAATTCTATGATGATTGACTCTGAACACTGTAGTTAACTCTATGATGATGATTGACCATGAGCAGCCAATCAATTGAGAGGATATTTCCTTGTGACTGTGGCCTGCTTCCACTATAATGGACACTCAGGCAAAATTTGCTTCCTTTCTGATGGGTCTGGATCTTGCATCTGGCTCGTCCTCCAGTCTCCTGTTCTTTGGACTTGAGCCAGTGGCCTGCTCTATTATCTGCCTGCCTGTCTACCTACCGGACCTGTCTACCAATCTTGGTTTATCTGATCCGGACTTGGGATTCTCTTACCTCTACAACTTGATATAAATTTTTCTTTTATT